CTTTGCGTTCACCACCGCTGGTTTGAATCTCCCGATCCGAGCCGGCTCCTTTGCTCTGGGAAGGCTTTTGCAGATGGTACAACCCAGGTCAGCAAATCCTGCAGGACATCTCCTGTGGGGGGCAGAAGGGAATAAAAGCTCCTACGCTGGGAACAGCGTAGCTACCAGTGCTGTTGAATCTGACCTCAAGTCCGGCTTTAGCTTTGCACCCTGGCCTAAGCCCTCATCCTCTCACTGATTTGTTTTTTTGTCCTGAGTTTTATGGACCCATTTCTATATTACAACAGGAAAAAAATCAGAGCACTGCTTTGCTCGGTGCCTGGGAGCAGCGGGGCTGTGCGTGCAGGATTTGCAAGAAGCACATGATTTTTGCCAGTTGTCTCTTTAATCTGCCAAATTCTGGGTCCGCAAGAAGTTTTTCAGACTTGCCTATAGATAAGCTGTGAATGTTACTGATGCATAATGCTGCTGTTCATAGCGTTTAAGCTGCTTTAGGATTTAGTGCCCAGACGGTGGAACTCCCCTGTGGCGTGGCTCGTGTGATGGCTGCGCCTTACTTAAATCCCCACCAGACCCCCAAATTTACAGCTTTCTCCCACGAGTCTTGACTTGTGTTTTGCCCAACTCCATTTTACCCCACTCCCCCTGCTCCTGCAATAAGGGCAAAGCCCTCAGGTTGGGTGAAGAAAGGAGCATTTAGGTGCCAAGCAGGAGGCTGTGCTGGTCCTGCTCTTTCCAGTCACTCCAGGATTTATGTGAGCAACTTCTGGGAGCTGGGTTGATTATTTTACATGTGGAAATAAACGTTGCCCATAGCCACAGCAGGGATCTGTGCTTGAGAAGCATTGGCAACCTGGCTATGAAGCCCTGAGGTTTACCTGGGGATTTTGGGTTCAAACCCAGTTGTTTTAAACGCTCCCAGAGCTTTAATTTGATAAAGCTGAGGCGGAGACGTCCATGGCAAAGGCCCAAGCTCTAATCCTAAACCTCTAGGATTTATGTGGAGCAGAAGCGTGTGTTGACCTAAAGCAATTGCACCATGGAGGGAGGAATTTCCGTGGGTGAGAAACTGAGTTTTATTAGTTTTGTTCCTCGGGCTGTTCCCACCGGGTTTGCTGCAGCCTCCTGCAAGAGCAGCGCCGTCTTTTCTTTGGCTTTAAATGTTACAGTGCTTAAAATTAAGCCAGAAAAAAAAAAGGGGGGGGGGGGGAAATGCTGAAGGAAGAGATTTATAGCCTGTTGCATTGGTGGCACTCACTGTCACGTTCCAGTAACGCTCTAAACGCACAAACCTGCACCGCATTGGGCTGGCTGCTCCGGCCGGGAAACCTCCAGCTCTGCGGGGAAAAAGGAGTGGAAACGTACTGTAGGATGTTTACGCACACGACACTGTCATTACTTGCTAAGGAGGTAATTATATTTGTATCATTGGGTAGTTAATGGTTGGAAAGGAGACAAAATATGTATTTTTACCTGCCGGGATTCATGAATGTAGCTGCTAATGCGTTGGCGGTCGTAATTTTTTAATCACTGCTAAAAATCAGGTCTGCGGTTTTGGATCGCTGGCTGTGGGGCCCCGATTCCTGCTGGGGGGGGC